GCCAAAGAACAGAATTTTATTTTATAACCTCTTGTGGAAAGTTTAATCTCTTTATTAAGAACAGAATCAGCACAAAAAAAACAAAAAAACCCAAAACACAACCTGCAACTGAGCACAAGCATGTACAATTAAAAACAAAAAAGAAAAGTAAAAGCTGAGAGATTTCCCCTCCTGGCCTTATATCGCAGTAATAAAAATCTTTAACAATTGCTGTACAGCTGCAGGGAGGGAGCAAAGAGAAATGGAGTGTTCTGCCTGCCTGCCGAGCGTCCAAAGCTGGCTAGCATCTTAGGTTTCCCTGGACCTTCTCCCAACACATGAGCCAGGACAGGACTAATGACCAGCACCCAGTTCAAGGGGAGAACCCTACTCCTGCACAGTCTCACCAGACTTGCATGGTAGAGTCTGGTGATAGAGGTCTGCCTGCAGGGAAGGGGGGGGGGGAGAAAAGGGGATGCCTATGGAGATCCTGCACCCTAGGTTACCAGTTCCCACAGAACAGAAGACTCATTCCCCTATATTTCCTGGGTACAGGGAAGCTCAATCCAGCTCGAGTTTGACTGAGACCTACACTGACAGTAGCGGAAACATCTCTTCACAGGCACGATTCTGAGGAGGATCACTGAGCCCTGGGTTTAAGGACCAGCATTGATGTCACCCTGTTTGCCTATAGCTGTATCAGCTACAACGCACAGCAGACAGGTCGGAAACCCCAGAGCTGACTGCACCCAGCACTTCTTTGGCACTACTGAACTCCCCCACAGCGCACCATCAATGGGTATCCCCACATTTCTACCTGGATGTGCCCATGAGGGATGTGATATAACCCCCCCCCACACACAGCCACATTCATGTAAAGGGCTCTGAGCAACATTCCAACTGAGAGGGGATGGCCTAACTCCTTGAGAAAATCCAAAGGGCCAACTCTTTCCCATCATAGAAAGTCTGAGCCTAACAGATGGGGTGTTTCCTAGCAGTAGAGATAGGTTGAACAGGCACCTGTGGCACATGACATCTAAGACCCTTCCCCTCCCTGCTACTAGACCTGCAAGATCTTATAAATGGAGTCCTAAAAATCAGAGAAAACAGAACAAGGAACAAATTACCCTGTGGCATCACCAATACAGAGCTTTGCCATCAAAATGTGCAAAGTGATTTTTCAGATATTGTGTGCCATTCTCTCCAGCTCCCAGGCCAGGAGACAGGGAATCTTTCCTTACTGAGGTGCTTGCAGCCCGCATCAGAGAGCGTGTACAAACCACCACTCAGTTCTCTTTCCATGGGGGGTGGGAAATGTCAGTGAATGGTGACCAAATGGAGGACATAACAGCATTCATTAGAGAAAATGCAATGCAACGTTCTCAGCCACCACAGCTTTGCCAATGTAGCTCAGCCCTGAACTGCATCACCTACTTTGACTTTAAACTGACCCTCACCTCCATAGCTCTCTCAAAGCAAGGGAAGCTTGATTTCTTGAACCCACCCCAGCCCTCATCCCCTACCCCCATACCCTGGGAACGTAGCTCAGCCCAAACCATCAGTTTCCCAGGATAGACTCACCTGCTGTTTTGCCAGTGTTCCTTTCTCCTGGCCTGTAGGGTCCCCTGCTACCTTGATTCCCCTTTATATCTCTGCTAACAAGTCTCCATCAGAACCCCACTACTCCGGTCCCAAGTCTCTTCTAAGCAAAGTCAATGGGTATAATACTGAGCAGGCTCCAGGATGAGCCCACTTAAGGAATTCTCTAAGCTGCAGCTGTCTGTGCAAATAACACTGAGGAGAAAAAGCCCAAGCACACACACTGGACCAGCTTAATCAGCCTGCACTAGCCAGACCATTATATTTCAGGCAGTAATGCCTTAAGGATTACACCACTCAACAATCTCAGCTTTACACTAGCCACCTTTTCAGAATCACAGGTGGATGCCATGAAAACCCTTATGATAAAGGCAAGCAGCCCAGTGACACACCAGCTGCAAATCACTCATCTCACTATGCAATCAGCATCCGTGGAAGGAAAATATATAACCACCTGTTGGTCATTACTGAGCAACAAATATACTGGGAGATCCAAAGTCATCCTCTTCCAATACGTCCAGCCATCACAGCTGGTTCACATCTCTCAGCATCATATAATAACTAGTTATGGTGAAATGCAAAGGATTAGGTTCAGATAAGCACCCATCACAATGAATGCTTATCTCAGCCTTCCCCTGACCTCAAGTTTGCAAAATGTGGCTGGAAATCTCATGAGAATAGGCTTTCCCAGGAAATTTCTGACACATCCTGGTTTTGGTCTCAGATTAAATGTTGTGTCCATCCCGGTACCTAGCCAGGAATCTCAGAGGAGCAAAGACATGAAAAATAATGGGCGGGGGGAGGGTTACCCAGCTCATTTCAGAGCATGCCAAACCGCTTCATAGCTCAGGAACAGTCTTATAAATAGGCAAATGGTCATGGAGTTGGGGGAAGTCTTATTAATATTTGAACCCTTTTGCCCATTGCTAATGATAGCGCCCAAGCATGGTTTTTAATAAGGTTTGCAGGCCTGTAATCTGTGCGCATGTGGACTTTCCCCCTCTAATTCAGTTATTTTGCAGACAAGTTCTTACATGGAATGAAACTATGGAATACAGAGGGGATGCTCTCCCCCTCCCCCCGGCCCCAGGATGGTACAGTGAGCGTGTCTGGTCAGGGATCAATAGGATCAGGGAAAGAGTCGCACAAAAATTCTTCGTTGTTGATGTCAACAACCACCTCTGGATCCGGTGTGACCTCAGACTCTGCCTCCATCTTGGGCTCTGCCTCAAGACCTTGACAGGTCTCTGTGCTTTCTGGAAAACAAGTGAGAAATGGTTATAAACATTTGCTACTGTCTTAACTCCATCTCTGCTGAAATCCTCACCCAGACTTTCATCTCCTTTTGCCTTGACAATCGCAACTCCCTTCTCTATGGCCTGCCCTAGTCCCAGCTCTCTGCTCTCCAGCACACTCAGACGCTGTTGTTTCCTTCTGACAGGCACAATGAAGCACAACTGCTTCAGCCCATGCTGCAAACTGC